ACTGAAAAGCAAGGAACCCTCTTACCACTGATGAAGCCACAGGCTGCCAATTCAGACCATTCCTTTAGAGAACGAAATCCCCTAAATAGTCACACTATAAGGTGGTGATTTTCCTCTCTTAAAAAATTGTCTTTCTTAGCAAGAAGCAGGTGGATCTCAGCAGATATTTTCAAGGGAGAGGTAGGCATTTGTCTGGGAGCGGGGGCGTGTGGGAAAGACCTAAACCATAACAGAGCAAAAGGAAGGTCAGGGTTCATTTGTGAAAAACATGGCTGCGGGAATCGACCTGTGACTGGTGCATTAAGAGCAGTAATGAAGGCATCCGTCCCCTGAACACTGTGTGGCCTCAAAACGCCTGGCTCTGAGGTTGGGGTCCGCCTCGTGGTTGAGCAACGGTAGCACGCAGACATCTCAGGGCCTCTCGGTGCGGGGCGAAGCCACTGGCAGAATTTGCCCACTGATGGTTTCTTTTCATAGTTTACCTTAGAAGAAGGGCTTGTGCAGGTGCCATGGAACTGTTACCAGAGGAATTAGAAACGTCCCACCCAATGAGACATGCAGGCCACCCAAATCTTGGGCGAATGTTAAGCTTTTGTAATTAACACTAGCTTTGCCGTGTAACGCCCTGTGACACTTTGTCATACAACCACAGCAACTGTCCCCAAACGCACTGCACCTCTTCGTAAATGCTCTGACTGTAATTTTCCATGGGCTGTGGAAGAAAGGGATCCACTGATGTTTCTTCAGGGATCTTCTCCATACTGGGCTCTCATGGCTGAAGGCATTGCCATCAGGCAGATACCCCTGCCAGCATATCTTTAAGTTTGGAGGCTTAGCTGAGGGGAGCAGGGCAGGGGGCTGGGTAACATGGGGGGAAAGGATTAAAAGGTACGAGCTTCCAGTTATAAGAGACAGGATACAGTACAGCATAGGGAATATAGTTAATATCGCAACCACTGTGCATGGTGATGGATGTTAGCTAGATTTATTGTGATTCCTTCATCATATATGTAAATATTGAATCACCATGTTGTACTCCTGAAACTAACATAATATTGTATGTCAACTATACTTTAATTAAAAAAAACGTGTAGGTCTTTGTTTAAAAAAAAAAAAAACAGGAGACTTGGCCTCTATTGGTCATTTACCCTGAACTATGTAAATGAGGTTAGATTAAGAGCTCCGGACATCCTGGTGAGTGGAAATTAGTTCGTGAGTGTCCAATGTCAGCACTGACTCTGAATCCCAACCACCCATCATCTGAGCTTTACCTTCTCCACCACCCAAGAAAGGAGCCACCCTGTCATCTACACGTAGTCAGACTATCTTTAAACACAAACAAACCTTGGGGCGCCTGGGTGGCTTAGTCAGTTAAGCATCTGACTCTCGGTTTAGGCTCAGGTCATGATATCATGGTTCATGGGATTGAACCCTGCATCGGGCTTTGTGCTGACAGTGCAGAGCCTGCTTGGGATCCTCTCTCTCTCTCTCTCCCCCTCCCCCATTTGTGCTTTCTCTCTTTCTCAAAATAAATAAATAAACATTTAAAAGCAAACAAGCCTCTGTTATTTTCATCAGCCACATATGGCTCTCTTTCCACCCTGATCTAAGATTCGTAAAATAGATCAAGCTTCTTACATATAGTCCTTTCATTGAAGAAGAACTCAATGCTTTCCTTCATATAATCTATTGGAACACAGTTGCTTCTTGAACTGTAGGGGGTGGCCTGAAATATGTTCTGCTGATACAACAGATAGGTGTTGAGGTAGAGGCCATATTATAGAATTTGTTTTAGGGGGCAGTGCTTGACAAGTTTAGGGACCAAGAAGGCACAACAGCTTTGCCGTGGAATAAGTATTCCATGGTTACACGTTAGCCTGGTCAGGAAGACGCTGGATTTGAAGAAAGCAATCATCGTATCAGTCCAAAGTCTATGTTGGTACATTGTTAATGTATACTAGAGCCTGTGTTTAAAGTGGCTACATCCAGACTCTCTCTATAAACACACACACACACACACATGCACACACACACACACACACACACACACACACACCACAAACAAGCCATGTGAACATACCTAAACAGATAGAGCTGCTTGGATTCTCAGTTTGCAAAGAGCAGGGCTAGAGGAAACTAACCATAGGAAGAAGCAATTAAGGGGCGCCTGGGTGGCGCAGTCAGTTAAGCGTCCGACTTCAGCCAGGTCACGATCTCGCGGTCCGTGAGTTCGAGCCCCGCGTCGGGCTCTGGGCTGATGGCTCGGAGCCTGGAGCCTGTTTCCGATTCTGTGTCTCCCTCTCTCTCTGCCCCTCCCCCATTCATGCTCTGTCTCTCTCTGTCCCAAAAATAAATAAACGTTAAAAAAAAAAATTAAAAAAAAAAAAAAAAGGAAGAAGCAATTGATGGTATAGGGCAGAGGTTCCCACTCTATGATGTTTATTAGAGAAACATTCTAGAAGAACCTAGGTCTGAGATGGGCATCAGACACCTGTGTTTTAAACAAATTGGTTGAGTAACCACACTTAGGGAAACATTGCTAAAATATCTTACATTGTATATCCTAAGGATTTTGAAATAGACAAGCAAGAAACAGAATACCTACAGATGATTTTACCTGCTCTGTAAACTGTTTTTAGAGGGAGACCTTGGAAGGATTTATTTTCTGGGGGGCATTGTTGGTCTAGGGCTTCATTCCCCAAATTTGAGAACAGAAATTTCACTACATGACTGCGATCGTAGACAGTTCCCGTATTTCCACCCTCCCAACTCCGTCCTAATCTGGAAGACCTCTGGGATTGAGTCTACCCCTCCCTTCCTACTGTGCCTTCCATTGGGCTAGAGTCATTCTAAGCAAATTTGGATTCTCTGGTTCTTGACTTCTGTTGCCAAATCTTGCATTAAAGATCAAAAACCAGTGCCCTTTCTGTGCTTCATCTATCTATAGCTTTTGTGGAAGGACATGATGCCTGGTAGGAATGATCATAACCTGGGAGTCAGGAGACCTAGATCCACCATGGGCTGGCTGTATTGTCGTGGGCAAGTCACTTAGCATCTCTGAGACTTCCCTTCCTCATTTTAAAGTCAAAGGGCTGAAGTAGATCAGTGTTTCCTGAATGCTGGTCCTAGTCTGGGGAACTTTGAGGAATAAAGTTCTCGGGCCTCACCCCTGCAGCATCTCATTCACAGGTCTTGGGCTAGTGCTCTAGAGTTTGTTTTTCTTTTCTTTTTTTTTTTTAACGTTTATTTATTTTTGAGACAGAGAGAGACAGAGCATGAACGGGGAAGGGTCACAGAGAGAGGAAGACACAGAATCTGAAACAGGCTCCAGGCTCTGAGCTGTCAGCACAGAGCCCGACGTGGGGCTCGAACCCACGGACCGTGAGATCGTGACCTGAGCCGAAGTCGGACGCTTAACCGACCGAGCCACCCAGGCGCCCCCAGAGTTTGTTTTTCAAAAGCTCAACGGAAGATTCTTAGGCACAATGACATTTGAGAAGCACTGGACTGGGGCGCCTGGGTGGCGCAGTCGGTTAAGCGTCCGACTTCAGCCAGGTCACGATCTCGCGGCCCGTGAGTTCGAGCCCCGCGTCAGGCTCTGGGCTGATGGCTCAGAGCCTGGAGCCTGTTTCTGATTCTGTGTCTCCCTCTCTCTCTGCCCCTCCCCCGTTCATGCTCTGTCTCTCTCTGTCCCAAAAATAAATAAACGTTGAGAAGCACTGGACTAGATCATCTCTGAAGGCCTTTCCAGCTCTATAATTCTGTTCTGTTTAGAGCGTGTAAGGGTTTTAATGAAAAGAAAATGGTATTAGAACACAATGGCCCAATGACACTCTGATGTGTGGGGTTTAAGACTGTCATACATTGCGCTTAATATTCCTGAGTGGACGTCAGAGGGCAAATGCTCCTTACTAGGGTTGCCCGTATATATCAGCACCCCAGTTGAGTGAGAGTCCAGCTCGCTTGTCACTTTGTGAAAACACACAGCTACTAATTCTGCCTCCATCATGTGATTCAGCTAGAGATTCGGCAACAGCAGGCAACCAAAGAAGCAACATTAAGCACATTATTAGCATTGCATTAATGTAACAAGGCAAAAAGATTTTCATGGCACTGTAGCAGATGGAAAGGATTGTGGGGCACCGGGGTGGCTAAGTCGGTTGAGCTCAGGTCATGATCCCAGGGTCGTGGGATCGAGCCCTGTGTCAGGCTCCACACTGACTGAGTGTGGAGGCTGCTTAAGATTCTTTCCCTCCCTTTGTCTCTCTCTCTCTTTCTCTCTCTCATTCTCAAAATTAAAAAAAAAAAAAAAGAAGACAATGGAAAGGATTGTTTTCTATGGCCTGGAGCTAGATTTGCTGCTAGTTGAACGTGAAGATCTCCCTTGAGGTCTCTCTTCCGTGAGATCTGAAAGACTGAAGAATCTGGAATTATTTTCTGAGTTTTTTCTGCCGTGCATTTTTAGATTACATACAAGAGGTGCATATATGCTTAGACCTGTTCACAGTACCTGCGGTAATGGCACGGTAATGCCAGGTGACATTACTATACTAGGAATAGTTACAGGCGAATTCTTCTAGACATTGCAACTGTCCTTTCTCTTGCTCTGCATTTTGCTCTGGTTGTTGAATATGCATTCACGTCGCAGACTGACCTAGGTTCGAGTTCCCGGTGGCGACTGTTTTTATACCTGATCAGCCCTAAGCTCTCGAGGGTAATCACTTAAATCCATCTCCCCTAATCTTCCTTACTGGGCAGTGAGGTTTGAAAAACAAAACGAGACAAAACAAGAAGGAGCCAGAAGAGTTGAAGGGCAAACACAGCTTCTTGGGCTCCTGGTTTTGTTTTTTTTTTTTCTTTTTAAAATTTTTTTTATGTTTATTTCTGAGAGAGAGAGAGAGTTTATTTATTTCAGAGCATGAGCGGGGGAGGGGCAGAGAGAGAGGGAGACACAGAATCGGAAGCAGGCTCCAGGCTCTGAGCTGTCAGCACAGAGCCCGACGCGGGGCTCGAACCCACGAACCGTGGGATCGTCACCTGAGCCGAAGTCGGTCGTTCAACCGACTGAGCCACCCAGGCGCCCCTCGTTTATCTCATTTGTAATCCGTGCCAAGATGCCCTCCTTCCTCGGTCTAAAGTGTCTGGGGAAACTGTGCAGCTCTGAGAAGAGCGGCCTGTCCTCCTCCAAGAGAGCCAGCACCACGGGCTCGTGCAGAAGGACGCGGGTTGTCGAGGATGTGCGTGTCACCAGCACCCCCCAGCCTGCGCACAGGCGTGCCACCATCACTCACTTGTTGTACCTGCACCCCGAGGCCTACTGCACGCTGGAGCACTTGATTAGCAACTTGGATCCTTCCGGTAAGTGAAGGAGCCCACTCTGCTCACGGCTTTGTGTTTCATGATTGGCTTCCGTAAGGAAGTACTGTGTAGAGCCGTTTGGTACTGTGTTCCTCAAAAGAAACACTATCCCTTGTATATAATTGATGGGGTGAGGGTGGGAGGAAAGGAGAATGTGAAAAAAGTACAGCTGCAGAGCTAAGTTCTGAGGATATTTTTGTCTATGATTTTATAATCTCAGTAACCAGGGTGTCTCTTTCCAAACTTGGTACTCACATTCGTCTATAATAGGAAGCGTGAGGAAAAGGAAAGCTCTCTATCCACGCACGCTGTTCTGTCATATGTTAAGGCGTGGATCAGAAGGATACATCCGAGGCAGCCAATCGACCATGGGAAAGAATGACCTACATGAAGGCGAGATCGCAGTTGTGTTACCGCCCAGGGTGTGCTCCTCTTGTGCAATGTTTAGAAACAAAGATCTGTAATGTTTGGAGAACGCGTGGAGGCTTCTTTTCAGGGAAGCGCGTTAGAACGGGGCCACTCGTCCACCTCCAGAGATGGAGCAGACGTAGCCTATGGGCAAGAGTTTCCGCACCAGGGACTTGGCACACTTGGAATGTGTGATTGATGAAGATGGTACCTAGTTGCTCGCTCCTGGTCAAAATCAGGCTAGAATCAGTACGGGAGGCAAAGGCTATTAGACACGGTCCCTGCAAACACGGGGACATGAGCCAAAGGAGCCAGAAAGTCAAATACATACCTGGTGATTCTTGGACAGCTAAGAGGAAGGCAGCGTTGGATTAAGGCGAGGTGAGGTAGATGAGTCAACCTATATTGGGGTGTTTTATTTTGCTTTTCACAATTAATTTTTAACAGCTTTTCTGGGATATAATTCATACACCATGCAATTTCCCCATTTGAAGTATACACGATTTTAGTATATTCACCGATAGACACTGACGTGGGCCACCATCGTCACGGTGAATTTTGGAATATTTGTGTTGTCTCAGAAAGAAACACTGGACCTTTCGGTATTATCCCACCACCTCCCGTCTCCAACCGCACCCTTAGGCTTAGGCAACCAGTAATCTACTTTCTGTCTCTATAGATTTCCCTATTCTGGACATTTCGTATGAGTGGAACCATATGACATGTGGTCTTTTGTGCCTGGCTTCTTTCACTCAGCATGTTTTCAAGACCCATCCATGTTGTGTCATATATCACTGCTTTGTGCCAATAGTGGTGGCTAAATATTATTGCACTGCACGGTTAAGCCACATTTGGTTTATCCATTCATCGGTTGATGGACATCTGGGTGGTTTCCACCATTTTGGCTTTTGTGAATAATGCCGCTATGAACACTCATATACAAGTTTTTGTGTGGATGTATGTTTTCATTTCTCTTGGGTGTATAGACAGGAGGGAGACGCGTGGGTCCCGTGATAACCATGTTTAACCTTCTGAGGAACTTCCGGGCTGTTTTCCAAAGCAGCTACACCACTTTACATTCTTACCGGCAGCATATGATGGCTGCAACTCCTCCCCATCCTTGCCAGCACTTGTAATTATCTGACTTGTGATTCTACCCATCCTAGTGGGGATGCAGTGGTATTTCACTGTGGCTATACTGAGTGTTGGCTGGGATGGGGAGGAGTGGCCAGCAGATCAGCGCTAAGGCAGGACCGTGTGGGGACCTGACAGATGCTGACGGGATGGTTCCTTGGTTCTCTCATTCTCCACTTCATCCTTTTCAGGGGAGCCTAAGCGGGGGTGGAGAAACCATGACCTCTGCTCCCAGCCACCTCATTAGCTACCCTAGAAGGACTTTATTCAGAACCAGCGGACCACACCTCTTGCAGTTCAGGCTGAGAGAGGTGCCCTGAACTGCAAGATATCACACCTCCACGCTGGCAGATACCCAAATCCCTTTACTGAGGGAAAAACCCAGTCTATTCCACAGCCAAAGATAAAAACTAAACATGTAGGTTTCTCTCGGAGCTAATACTTTATTGTGAACGTTGTTTGGTGCTTCTACTGAATGCCTCCCCTGAAAGAGATTGGAATTGGAATTTGGAATGAGCTGTTGACGCCCATGAAAGAGATAAGGTCTGCTGGTGGGAGAAGGCAGGAAGTCAAGGGGAGACCAGTAAACTGTGGTTGAGTGAGAGCATGCTGGACAATTGCTTGTCAGTAGGTTCGATGACATGGGAACAAGAGAACAAACCGTATTAGAGAGAGCCCTGGGTAGAGGAAAGAATAACCATCATTGGGATATCCATATCTTAGTGAAGGCAGATAAGGAAATCTGGGGGATCGGTTTAGTGTGTGGCTTTGGAGTTGGACCTTCCAGAATTTCAATCCCAACTCTTCAACTTACTAAATGTGTTATTTGGGGAAATTAGTGTCTCTAAGTCACAGTTTCTCTATTTTGGAAGGAAGAATGCATACCTTCTGAATGCTGTGAGTAGGTCCACCTCTAGGGTATATGAGTCCCTGGGCAAATAGTGTTTTGTGGAGCCCCTGTGTACATGAACACTCTGAGTCACCGCAAATCAATGTGTCAACAGCCTGATCTTGTTGAATCATGGGAAAGTAATATCATGCCGGCCTGAAGGAGTGATCACTCACCAAAATCCCTTCCTGGAATCAAGTCAGCTCCAGGCCCCTATGATAATCCCATTGACAGGAGTCCTAGAGCTCCTCCGGGAGCTCCTCCAGATGCCCCCAGGGCATCTGGTCAACCTCTCCCCCCCCCCCCCGCTCCCCCTTGCACAGCATGGGAGAGACAGAGAGGATCATCAGCGAGAGCTCCAAAGAGCAGAGCAGGCTGGGATGCCCCACCCGGACATCACTGCTGGCCCTAGCTGATCCCAGGCACCAGAAGGGGACTTAGACATTTTTGAGGGAGGTGAGGTTTGGGACCAGGGGCCGGGTCTAAGGGCAATGTTGATTATGGGGATTCAATGAGCACATGCATCTCCCAGCTGTGTGGTATCGTGGCGCATAGAAGCATCCGCTAAATTTTAGCTACGATAATAATACGATAAAATAGTTTATTATTTAAAAAATAATTGCTATTGTTTGTCTTCCACTGCTGTGAAGGAATAAAGGCCCAGACTTTGTGCTGGTGGGGCCCAGGGCAGTACATGAGGTGAGATTCCCAAGAAGCCACCATGTGTGCTCAGAATCTCCCGTCTAAGACAGGTGCTTGGAGGAAGTGCCCCCTCCCGCAGCCATGTATTAGCAGTATTAGCAAAGCCAAGTGCTCAGAAGCAAGCAGCTCCCGGCAGGATGCTCGGGGAATTTGGCAAAGGCCTCCTGCAGCTGCCAGAAAGATCTCAAGATGCTACAGCATCCTGTTGTTGTCTGGTGCTCAACTATTATTTGTTTCTGAGAGACACAGAGAACGAGACAGAGCGCAAGTGGGGGAGGGGCAGAGAGAGGGAGACACAGAATCTGAAGCAGGCTCTCGGCTCCGAGCTGTCAGCACAGGGCCCGACGCAGGGCTCGAACTCACGAACACACGGCGAGATCATGACCTGAGCCGAAGTCGAGCCCTTAACGGACTGAGCCACCCGAGTGCCCTTCAACTCCTACTTTGAGTTGTACAGGGCTCCATGCTCTTCAAAGTGTCCCTACGTATATCTTGCCTTTGTCGCGCCCAAAACAAGCCTTGGAAGTCAGTAGGCAAGGAACTGTTTTGTCCATTTAAGAGCAGGGAGGGAATTGGTCCAAAGATGGGACACGGCAACAAAACAAACATACAAGTGAATGTGCAAAATGGCTTCTGCATGTCGATATGACTCTCTCTCTCTCTCTCTGATCATCAACGAAGATTCCAGAAGAATGAATGAAGCTATCCTTCACTGAGGGCCTGCTAGATCTCAGGCACTGTGCCAATCGCTTTATAATGTTTCCTCATTAAGTATTCATAATAACGCAACAAAGGGAGTACTGCTTTTATCCTCACTTTGTAGGTGGGGAAACCAAGGCATCTGATGTGAAAAGAAACCTGCTGAAAGTCACAGAGGTAGTGAGTGGAAGAGCTAGACTTGGACTTGATACCCAAGTGTGGGGTCTTACCCATTTTACTGCGTGGCCTCAGCCCTAGGAGCCTGAGGACAGATCATCCATGAGATCTGGTGAGTTTCGGCGCTCTTAAAATTTGTTTCTGGTAGGGCCGACTAAGTACTGTAGCAACTCAAATGTGATGACTTTCTTATAAAATAAATTGTTTTTCCCAGGAAAATTGGGAAATATTTCTTTTTCCTGGTTCACAAATACAAGCTATCTGTGTGGGTTTTTCTCTTTCTTTTCCTGTAGGAACTTAGAGTAGTTTTTGAAACTGTGTTTCTTCCTTGAAAAAAAATTTTTTTAACATTTATTTAATTTTGAGAGACAGAGCGTGAGTAGGGGAGGGGCAGAGAGAGAGAGGGAGACACAGAATCCGGAGCCGGTTCCAGGCTCTGAGCTGTCAGCGCAGAGCCCGACGCGGGGTTGCAACCCACGAACCGCAAGATCATGACCTGAGCCGAAGTCGGACGCTCAACCAACTGAGCCACCCGGGCGCCCCAAACCTGTGTTTCTTTCGGTCTCTCTGAGCTACTGCATCTGGTAAAAATGAAGGAGCATATTTAGGGCAAGTATCTTCTTGACAAACAGGAAGAGACTGGCACTGTTTTCAAAAGCCCTAAGGATATCTGGAAAGGGTTCAGTGATTATGTTGTCAGCTGAGTCCAAATCCCAAAGCAGAATGTTCTGGACTGGAGACCAGGGACCAAAGTAGACTTGGCAGTCCTCTCCCCAGAAAAATAATTCGTATCCCTGAAGATAGAAAGGTGTTTTTGCTTTGGTTCAAGCACCTGCTGTGTTCTCCTCATTATGTTTACTAGAGCCCTAGGGGCTGTCTTCACTTGGGATGGTCTCCCCAAGACTCAAACACTCGCATGACTGAGAGAACCTCCTGGGTGTTTGCACACTCTTTGTTTCTTAAAGTGATATCAACCTGTTTTCAAACTGAC